AAGGAGCTGCAGATAAGGAAGCTATGTTTAGCACTTCTGAAAATCCCACAGAATGAACACCTGATACATTGTAATACCAGCGGACTTCAGTGCGTTCTCTGCATCTCTGAGGCACCCAGAACAGAGAGTGAGACTCTGCAGGTATTTGGTCTCAGTTCAGAGTAGACAAGCTGCGTTTATCCTTTCTAAGTTAAAGTGTTTCTTAGGAGTAAGGTATTTAACAACATATATCAGCTATACGCATCAGCCACACTCACATCCTTGTTGCAATTCCACTGAGAACAGATGTCTCAAGCTCAGTCTCAAAGAGGAAATGGGAGCCTCAGATATTCTTTAACAGGCCCCAGCAGCTGCTAGGGCAACACAACCTACTCAAGCTAAATATGCCAAGTGTCCAAGCAAGAACATTGCTCCTTATGTACTCTTCCCAGAATTTTCTGTTTATTTCATTGACTTAAATTTTCAGTATACAGGACAGGAAGTCTTTAGGCTATAGTCATGTTCTGCCTCATTTGCTGCTCTCCATCCAGTTTTGCAACCCCTTTGAAGAGACTTCCAACTGTGCCAATATCTACTCTTAACAGCTTGCCATCCTGTAGCAGAGCCAGAGGACAAGAACTGTGCACTATTCACCTCTACTATGAAAGATCTGCTTGGACATGCAATTAAAGTGATCTCCCAACTCTTATTTTTCTTCCCTCACAAACATTTAGCTGTTAAGTTTTATATGTGAAGTAGTTGAGGTACTTCATAGCCTCTTTAAGGGAATCAAGGTAACTCCAAAATGCAAAAATCATATCTGACAGACATTGAGGCTAGATTTCCAAACTAATTCAGTATTTTGTTAAATTTTCAAAGCAGCTGAAACTATGCACTTGGCTACTAAAGGCTTTAGCAGAACATCAGCGCCCAAGCCTACTAAAGAGGCTTTTAGTATCAGGAGACATCATACAAATATTATGTTTCTTAGGAAGTCTGTTCCCTGTGAACATTTATGCAAATTTAATCTCCCCTCCCCTTCCCTTTTCACCCAAAAAACAAAGGACACCAATCACAAGTTTACCCAGTCAGCATCACCTGTATGCACCATGTCTACAGTTCACATCTTCATACTTCAAAGCCAAATTTGCATATATGTTCCTCTGTAGAGACTCTCTCAAATCACATTATCAGACAAAACCACCAGATTTACTGCTGGTTTGTTCTGATGGCACCTGCAGTTATTTTCATCTGTTATTAAAAAAAACAAACCAGAGCAAGCTGTAAAGTAATAAACAGTTTATTTTTTCTTTACATCAATCTTTATGAAAATAACATCACTTATGTTTTGTGATTCAAATTTCTTGTACCGCATATTGCTGATTCCTAATATGGCACTTAAGGGAACTTAAACAGCTACACAATTTCATGAAATTGATTAGTTTTCCATTTCTCAGTTAAGCATGACTGAACATACAGCTCTGTCCAATTTAAAACCATTCATTCATTCCTGATGCCTTAAGGAAGAAAAAAAATCATTCCCTTTCTCCTGAAATATCTTACCATATTTACAAAGACTGAGGGGAAGGGGAGAATCTCTCACAGAAGACACCTGAAGGGCAACAAAAAAAATCTTTTTTATTGATTACATAGCTGGTAAAAAAAAAAAAAACCAGCACACACCAAACAATCTGATAAACACTGGTTGATAACACTACCTGTACAAATGCACAGGTAAAGCTGAAATACTGTGCAGTTTTAATAGCTAGAGGTGTAGTGCACCAATTTTTTACCTATTTAACAGAAGATAATAGAATGTTTTAAACAAGTAACCAGAAGTTTCACTGGAAATCCATGCATACGTGTATGAAGATGGAAGAATATTCTGCAAGATGCAACTTAGTGGTTTGGTTTACATCACATATACTAGGAACCATGCATAAGGAACTCTTTGCACCCATGTGCATGACCTTGAAGTTAAAGTCTTAGTCTTTATTTGCCTTAACAGGTCAATTTCCTACTAAGTGACTGGCATGAATGTTAAATCCTCATGCACTGTTTCAGAAGTTTACCCCTAAATACAAACACTTGGTATCTATGCAGTTCAGCTTTTGCAGGCCACTGAGTCACACTGTATTTTTGCTCAGTTTCATGGGGTTTAAATACTGCCTGTGTATCTTGCATGTCCCTAACTAGTTACTACTCCTCAAAGTTACCAGATTAAGCACCACTAGAAAACTAATAGTTGCCCAAAGACATTTGCAACAGCAAGGCAAGCTTACCCCGACATTCCTTCCTGCTATATGCATCGCATTTTTGTTCTGTGTAGACTTCTAGCGGTCAGAGGTTAGATGCCTCTGCAATTTTTTGACCTTTTAACTAATGCATCAGTAATGATGCTTAACAAAATGAAGCCAACAGCTTGCTGGGAACTTGAGTATAACAGCATCAACTCATTTCCTATTTGCAAGCTAACAAAATACCCAGAGACAATATGATTTCCATAAGCTTCCTAACATTCATGTATCAGATTCACATAGTGGCATAAGAAACAGAGCTACTTAGTTTTACTGTACAATTGCGTAACAACTTACATAATGAAACACAGCAACACACACACAAATTTGACCATTGGCACAACTGTAAAAAAGAAATGGTCTTGTAACGTTGCAGGTCATGTTTTGTCAGCTAGAGCACTTCCTGAACAGTTGCCCTAAAGTTAGTTTTATCTTCGCAACCTGAAGACTTCCATGAAATAAGTCTAAAAACATCTCCTAAGGTCATAGGACTAGTTCATAGTGAAGACTCAAAACCCAGGAATAATAGATTTGTAGGAATAGGGTAGGTACATACTTCTAAATTCTTCACCTTGACATTTCAACTGTTGCCACTGGAAGGAAGATCTTCAGCTTAGAAAGATTTCATTTAACACTTGAAAACAAGATTAAAGCAAAAAGCAGACATTACAGATTGATTTAGAGACCAGCTCTTTCAAAACCAAGACAGCATAACTAGAAAATTAGAAAACCTGGTCCCATTTTTGTATTCAAACACTGATTGTAAGTAAAAAAAGAATACAGTACATGCAATAATATGAAAAACCTGCCTAATAAACTCAAGTACACAACTGAGAGTAACTAAGGAATAAAAAACCTCCAAACTACTGCTTACAATAGACAAGGTATGGGACATTTTAAAAGACAAATAACATACAAATCAAGATGACCATACCACGTGTCCCTCATTGGCAAGGATTTGTTGGCTAATTAAAAGTTATATGTCATATAAGAAGCATACATTTTCTATTCAAAAGTAGTCCTGCAAGTTACAATGTTCACCACTGATTAAATATTTCCCTTCCAGATAAATTGACTGGTAATATGCTTAGAGAAGGCTACAAATACATTCTCAAAAAAGAAAAAGTGCTGTGAAACAGAAGCAGGATTTCTCCCTGCACACACTTAAGTTTTGTAAAACATTTACATGAGTATACCTGATAAAGAAGTCCTACTTGTTCCCAGAAAACCAAAAGAAAACACAGGAAGTAGAAGCTTGACGTACCTGAATCATTCCCCACCATCAGTTTTGGTTTTTGCCAATGAACCACTTCCCCGGAGCTGAGCAATTTGCTGCCTAGTATGTGAATGCTAGTTTTATCATGACACATCCAGACACAACATTTAAGTCAATCCAACAGTGTGAATATCCAACAGCTCAAGAAAGAGTATTGCAGAAGTCCAGAGAATAGCCAGCAAGAAAGAAACCTTCATCTCAGAACTGTTTAAGAGTATTGCTAGTCATCAGATCAGAAAGAACGGCCTCCAGTCCCACTTTCATAGTCAGAAACACTACAGCTAAACACCCCAAGTGTTTCCTTACAGCTGTCTTGTAGGACATGGATGCAACACTCACAGCAAAGCTAAGCACATTAAGAGAATATTGCATTCTTCTGCTGGAAAAGGATCTTGAGTTTCTTGTGTGCATGCCGTGACCTTTAGACTCCTCTGACTGATTGGTAAATACTTGTTTTAGGAATCCTGTCACTACTGCTATTGTACAATAGTTATACATTCATGCAAAAAGAATGCTATGTTTCTTTTAAAGATCAAGACTTCATCTTATTTTAAGCCCTAAATAGGAAGCATAATTAAAATTTAAAAAAAAAGCCTTAAACAGATACATAACTAATTAGCTACTAAAACATAGTACTCTTGTGACAAGCTCAATTTTTCTTCCGTAATAGCTGGGTTTTGGTTGTGGCCTTTTTGAGACATTGCAATCAAAAAAAAAAGAACAGACATAAAGTTGACTAAACAGAATTTGATCTATAAACCCCTTTGCATTTATGAGAATCTTTATCAACACAGCTGCCCAGAAAAGCATAAACAATGTTCAATATCACTGTTTCAGTATACACTGAACATTCAGTGACAAATAGGTACTTATTTTACCTTTACTTTAAGTACATATATCCAAGTCTTCGATTTGGTGATCCATTTCATGTCACTTCAGGAAAAGACAAAGGAATGTAAAAGTTCTTCCTGTGCTTCATTCCATACTTTTCTAGTATGTGACCTCAAGAATGGCTAGTTTATTCAAGGACATGATGAAAGCTATTTATTGAACTAAACTGAAACAAAAAAATATGATGTCCTCCCACATTGAACCTGCACTACAAAAAACCCCATGATTACATAAAAAAAACCCCACAGAATGGCAATGAATGCAGTAAACAGAGTGGACTTTTCTTACTACTCTTTCACATACAGGCACTAACCGTGCACTGCTGGAAAATAACTGGCAATTCAGCTGATTGACTGAACTGAGAGAGATATTAAGTGCTCTACATACAATTCCATGAACATAAATGTAAACAGAAGTGTTTGGCCTCCATACAAAGCAGTATTTCTGAAAGTGCTCAGGTTTGGAAATCTGTCCGGCATATTTCCAAAAGCAACTAGTTTACATTCTGTTTGACAGGATTAATAAAGTGTTTTGGAGGTTAACTCACTTTGGTCATGATCCCAAAGAAAAGTTTATGTTGAGTAGTTTCAACTATCCTCCTCATCATCACTAATAAGGTCTCTTTTTTCTACACACGTCTCTCGTTCACGCAGGAAATCCTCACGAATGGCTTCTAGTTCAGTTAGTTCAAGACGCACTTTCTCCAGATGATAGGTCCTTCGGTTCCTGATCTGACGTAATGGAAAAGGATTCAGGTCTCCAAAAGCAATACCAGTCAGTTTCCTGTAAGATAGCACAATGTTAGAAGACAGTAATTCATATTTGGTGGTTTTTTTAAAAATCAGTTTTGAACTTCATCCATACCAATATTTAGTATATGGCTGATATCTTTGGTCTCCTTCACATACCTGGCAGGTCTCAGATGTTATCAGTATTGCAAGAAAGTTCTATAAAGCACTCTGTTTTAAAGTTATTTCAAGTGATAAAGTGTTACCAAATGCTCAATGGTTCACAAAGCTACCTGCAAACTCTATATAATGCTACAGCAATTACAGCCTTGACAACACTGAACAGAAGATGTAAGCTTGGCTAATCAGAGCTTCATTAGCTAGACTGAATACTTGGTACATGTAGTTACCCAATTATAGATTGGATAACTTCCTCCGTATAACTCACTGAAGCTTTTTCAATCCCAGGACAGTCAGCTCTCAAGTTATCCAAGATAATGAAGTGGTGTAAGAGACCAGATAAAGCCTGGGATAATACAAATACAGACAAGGATAATACAAAACATGTAGAAGTCAAACTTTACGATACGGTGAGAAAGCTCTGGGATTCCGCTGGCTGGAACACAGAGATCTCTGAGCTAGTGTCAACTCAAGCTCGTCAGATCACATAGCAAAGCACCACAAGAGTATCCACCACCCTTCCAGAGTCATGCTGCATTATACTATTATGCAGTCACAGCAAAACTAGTAACTGATCTGCCTAATCAGTCCAAAGACAGAGTTAACTACATCATTACTGTTGATCTATACCTAAAAAACACCTCATTATTTACTAAGGGAAAAAGGGCAACTCAAATCTAACTTATGCTAGTTTAGTTATCAGATGAACCCAAATATTAAGAAAATTTATTTGGACAGTTTACTTAAGGCTAGGCTCTCCCTAGGTTCGTATTTTTGAGTGAACAAGAACTATTTCCTGACATTTATAAACAGAACATATTCCAACAGCTTCTCTGTTTGCACACAACATGCTATGGAACACACCTTTCATCTGTAGAAAAACCTAACTATGACATCCTATAACCTAGAGTATAATTATGCACATGTCTGTAGAGACTTTTCTCCACTAGAGAGCTTAAACTTAGAAATTCTGTGCAAAATACTTTTTCTAACCCATTCATGCCCATGAATTCTATAAAAATAATCTTTCTGAATTTTTCCTCTACAAGATGACGACTTTTCATCCACATCAGGAAAGACATCATTCTACATACTTTTTATATTGTTTAAATTTTGATGCTGTAAACCTTGTACAAAAATGATAGAATAAGAAACCAGGTGGTTTGAATTGTGCCTTATCAGTTCTAGCAGGCAAATTTATATCCCCTAGGTGGCACTACACCAGTACTTTCAACTCCAGCTTTTAAAATCCTAAAACAGAAATTTAGAGACCAGCACAGAGTATATTTCAATTGTAAATATCTTTGATGCTGAATTCTGTCCTCACCTGAACTCATCATCTGCCGAAGACACCCAATTAGCTCATTTTGTTAACACCAAAATGAGGTCTCTTCCAGCAATATTAGAAATCTTTAAAATAGGTTATTACAGCACCAGAAAGTTTAGACAGGAAAGCCAAGACATCATTTCCATTACATAAATTGGAAAAGGAAGGGAAAGCCAAATCTGCAACTCTGATTATATATAAAAATTTTGTTCAAATTAGGTAAGAGCAAAAAGATGTAACTTTTTTCTTCTCCGCTCTTCCTCCCCCCCTTCTTTTGCAATCTTTAGGTTCTGGCAATACTGCTGTGATACTACTGGTACTACATATTACACATTTCATTATAAGCTACAAAATAGCTTATTTATCAATTATAAAATATCCACAAGTTTGGTTTATTTGTTGTTTTCTGTTAAAAATATGTGCACCCTCTTCCCAAAAATCAAGTACATACTTCACTGTCACTTCCAGGTTTGGAATTAGAGTCAGCATTTATTTTGGTCACAAACAGCTGAGTACAACAACTGGCCAGCATTTCTCAAATCAAAGGGGGGAATGCTAAAATACAAAGCACCACACAACTCCCCCTCAAGAGTTTTTGGAGAGGTTTCAGCAGAGGAAGCAACAGCTGTTATTGAGACTTTTACCATTTAAATCAGTTGCCGAACATTCTCCCTGCATCAGTTCCAGCAATTCTTTGTAAGCACAGAGTAAGATTATTCAGTTTTAAACTTCTCTCCAATCAAAACTGAAACACAGTAAGTAAAAATAATAAATAGCTCTTGCAATAAGAGCCAAAGTATAAGCCTAAATTCATACGGAATTTATTACAGTAAAAACAAACACCTCAGATTGCGGTATATGATTTTGTACTAAATTCAAAATCAGTGAGTTTCAATATCTGTGCAAAACATTTTCAGACATGAAACTAATCCCAGTATGAATTTTCTTTTTAAGAATAATCTGCTGCTCTACAGTCTTGAAACTAGGAACCTAAAAACATTATACCCTAATTTACAAACTGGAATTCCTATGCAAGGACTAAAGGACAGAAGAGTATCTAATTTGTATTTATTCTCTGCTTCAAAGCATATCTTAAAATCAGCTGGAGTTATGTGGCATTAGCCTATGTGTTAATGACGCATAAGAGATCTAAACCTAGTGGGTCATAGCTCACATTTTTAATACTTGAGCCAGTATGTCTTTTTATTTATCATAAACTATTTTACAACAGTAAGTTATATCCGCAATGCAGGGGGAGACTTCACCACTGAGTTGAAATTCTTAAGTTGCTGCCATTATACAACTGCTAAACAAGACCAACCTGGCAAAGTAATCTCTATCATACCTAAAAATTTACAATTAATGCATTCATCACTTGTGCTTTTGTCTCTGCTAGATGAAACTAATCATGAGAAATCTTAGTAGTTAGTTTCATCTCCAGTTGCTTTATTTCTAAATTAAGATCTAGGTAAAAACAAAACAAAAAAAACAACCATGACAGACTTCTTCCATACCACACTACAAGTCTTTCAATACACACAGCGTGAGTTACCCACCTAGCATCAAGTATAGTGCGTGTGAAATATCGAAGGTATTTGAAGATGGACATTGAATCTTGCAGTTTTAAGATTTCCTCTTCCTTGTATTTAAAAAGTGCCAGGGCAAATCGGAATATTACCTGATAAAAATACATACAATATTTGGTTCTTTATAGGAACAGAATGCACCAATTGTCATTATTATCTATTATAAACTCAAAGGAAAAGTGTTATTCTTCCTACAGGCTGCATTTGGGCTATCCAATCACACGTCCCTGTATCTCCCTTCCCTGAGGCTCCCTCCCCATCCCCCATTTCCAAAAGCTGCCAAACAGTTCTGTTGTGGCCCATAGCCAAGGCAAGGTGTTCTGCAGTGCTATCCAGAATAGAATATTGGGTTTATAGCATACAAATTCTTTGAAGTTTTGAGTTCCTAATTCGGTTGTAGAACAAAGACTGCTGGGCCTTTTGGATGCATTTATTAAGTTTCTTCAGAGCTAAAATTAAGTTTTGCTTTTTAAACAGGTTGTTTTCCAATGCCTTGAATTTTCCCAACATGTTGGGGGACTGACGCTGAGGGAATTTCTGATACCAGTTTGTCAATCACCTTTGACATGAGCTGGAAGAAACATTATTTCCCTTCATTCTGAAAAGGCTTCAGTAAGTTCTGAACTTTGTCAGTCTGCCCCTGGCTGCCTTTACAAAATACTACGATGCTTAAAACTGATTTGAATGAACAACTAAAATACCACTGCATGTTAGAATGCTCAGATGAGGCCAACAAGAAATCTAGCAAACACACAGTTTTTGTCTACTTATTTTGTAACACTCCTGTTCTAATTGCCTATAACACCTGCTTTAGTGTTGTTATTGTGTTTGAATCCAATGGTTTTTTTTTTTTCTGCACCGGTTTTATTTCATTGCAATTTCACAAGTATGAAACACATGAAAATTCTTTCACCCCCACCCCTTAAATTTACGGGATGGGAGCCCAGATAGTCATTGTTTGTCAGTTTTACTTTAAATGTCTGCAGAAATAAAACAAATAGTTGCTGCAGAGACAAGCTAAATATTAGCACTTGGCTACAACTGATTTTTACATCTTTTCAATACTTCTAACTTCTGCCTCCTTCACTTAAGCTTTCTTCTTTATGAGAACAGCTCTCATTTTGATATAATTACTTAAAACTGATTGACAGCTGCATGTAAGAGTAAACAGCACTGCCTATAGTTTTATTTTTCAAAGGTAAAAAAAAATGGTGGGTGGTGAAAGGCAAATACTTAGCATTTAGAATTCTTCCAGGTAACTCAAGCTTTTAACTTGCAGAACACAGAGAAAACAGAAAATGTTTTGACTGGTCATTTATGCACATTTCCTCCCTTTTTTTCCCCACTAGTGATTTTAACTGACAGGATTCTTGTGAAACAACCTTCCTCCAACCTGCACTCAATAACACCATAGTATTTTGTTACCAGGTAACAATTGAAAAGCTTAGCTCGTTCAGTTCACCTTTGGTCCCTCATATAGGAAGGAGTCCCAGATTTTAAAAAGGATGTCGCTAACCACACTGTCCACAAATACCACAAGAAACCAGTTGAAAGTTATAAGAGTATAGTCAACTTTGTATTGTTCAAAATGAGCATGCAGTCGTGGAAGCTTCTCACTCATTAAATCCTTGAATACTCGCTGATCAACCTAAAGAGATGACAAATAAGACATCATTGCTCCTAATTTTCCAACATATACAGTCATTCAAAGTACAGCCATTACCAATCTTTAAGTGCAAGTTTTTCAAGAGCTAACCAGGAAACCTAGGACTGCCTAGTTAACACTTCTAAGCTAGAGCCACCCAAAACATACGTGGCCACCCCAATGCAAACCACTCTTGCTGACACAACCTTTTGCTTCTCAATCCACCCCCAGCATCACAGGGCTCCTCACAGGCAGATGTTGTGTTCCTACTACAGGTCACTGGTGCAGGAGCACCAGAGCAGAGAACAAGCTGGGGAAAGACTTGGAGGCAGGAGGCAGCACATACCAGAGCATCACCTGGAAGCAGAGGAGTGCTACAAGCATATACTGCTCACAGTAGTGCAAAATGTATTCTCACCCCCCCGCTCTCCCAGAGAGCCCATAACGACCCCATCCCCCAATTTTGACTAAAGAAGTGATAAAGCAGCTCAGCCAATGTTGTGAAGCTAATAATCAGAAGAGGGGTTAAGGACTAGAGCTCCAAGCAGGTCACTGAACAGTTATTTCAGTGTTATACTCGGAGTCCTTGTCCAAACAAGGGCCCTGGTGACTGGAACTCACCTCTCAACACATCCCCCAAAAAGCCTATCAGACTGTTTTAGAAGAAAGGTTTTGACTGTCTGCAGTTTACAGGACTAGGCTTTATTTTAGCAGAGCACATACCTGAGATCCTAGCAGAGTCTTAGTATAATAATCACGAGGCATGAAAACTTCCACTATTGTTACTAGACACCAAAAAGCATCTTCCTGTTCCAAATACAGAAGTGCAATTGCTACCAATCTGAAAATGGCGTTTATTTGGAGAAAAAGATTATTACGATATCACAAAATGTATTAAGAACAATTACAATAAAGCCTTTGGTTCTGTTCCGAGACAAACATACTAACAGGAGCACACTAAACAGCAAAACTGTTAATGAAGTTTAAGATGGGGCAATGAGATGCCTTCTCAGCCAAGCCAAGTATTTTTATTCAGTTAAATAAGAACAAAGATAAAGGCAAAAGCAAAAAGTGATTTGTTAGAAGCCATTTTTTCCAGGAACTAAGGCAAAATAATTAGACGCTTCCAAGTCCTAAAGATACTACTCCAATTCCCAGACTTTTGTCTTTCCTTACTGAAGAGGAGGAAGAACAGATGGTTCCTGCATTTCACACAAAATTCTTGTAAGTTTAGAAAAATCCTTTCTAGCATGTTTACTTTATATCCATTAAGATAAATAAGTAACACTTTTGTCTTTATCTACTATTGTCTTTTAAGGAAAAGAAAATGCCCTGAATTTTTTCAAAGACTAAACTTGTTCTAAGAATTTCTTAAAGTAGGAAAATTAGACAGCAGCAGCATTCCTGGTTTTCCTGTTTCCAATGACTATTATGAAAGAAAAAAAAAATCAGACAACTTCATGTTGCTGATAGTTGTTTGAATATGAAAGGTAACCTCCAATATATTTCTCCAAGTAAACTTGGTTTATTTCTGTATGCAAGAGGACCTGTAACAACATAAACTGCTTCTGATGTTACACAGCTTAATAAGGTGATCACACTTTAAAAGCTTAAGAGAACCAAAGCAAGGAATAAATATTTAATTTGCTTCTAACTTCTGCAAGTATACCCAAATGCAGAATTATTTTCAGTAAAACAAAAAAATAAAACAAAAAATGTCCCAGGAGAAAATAACGCTGCACAAAAAGTTCAAATTTAGCAAAAGCACTTCTAACACCTTCTAGTCACCAGAGACATGTTGCTCCAAGACCACAAGCCGTGTTCTTCAGACATGTCTTGTGACATGCCAGCAACAATATTAATACTAAAACATATGATTGACCTACAGAATGTAACCAATAGTGGTGAATACTCAGAAAAAGAATACTTCTTATACTGCATTGTTTACTACCTCTACTACTGCTACCACCACCACCTCACTACCTCTACTACATTATTCACAGCCTCTAATCTACTATTTCTTTAGTGCAGTTTCAAATGATAAAGCTTCTCTAGTTCAAAAGTCTTCTACCCTATTCTAGTCCATAAATTAGTGCACAAATTGACATCTGTAGTATTATATCATGGGGACAAACAGGACGTTAGACTAACATGCCTGCTTCAAATAACACCTTCCTTTGCTACAGATCTCAAAGTACCAAAACTATTTTGGCAAATGCCAACTGCAATGAATTCATTTTTTTTCTTAGCCTTTTGTTACAAGAGAATCATCCTTAAATTGATTACTGCAATTCTAATTGAAGACATCCTGAGGGAAATGCTGCAATTTGTGGCCTTAACAGTACAAAAACCTTTGAAGAATTTATTTCTGCTTGTTTAAAAAAAAAAAAATAAAAAATGAAACAAACAAACAAAAAAACCTCACTAACAAATTCTTGCACACAAACCCAAAAAGATCCCCTACAACTGACAGGAAGAGAGCGTAAAACTACATTTAAGCAGCCCATTTCTTATGTTAATTCCAGTTCCAGTTCTTTTGCCAAGCTGATTCTACAAGTTTCATGATCCATCTTCTGTTTTTTTATTCTTTTAAAAAAAATGTGGTAGTTATTTGTTTATTTAAACATCATAAATTATGAAGATACAACCCATAAGGCAAATAGCTGTCCAAAAGCATGTTGCTATACATGTGATTTGAAAGGCTTATTAAGTGTTTCACTGTACAGTTATAACTCAAAATTTGCAAGATCTTACCTGTTGAGCCCCTGGCAATATCCTATATCAGGATTTCTCCATGAAAACGCCAGCAGCACATTTCGCAGCTTCTGGATCCCTTCAGATGTTGGGGAGGAATAATGTTTGTTGTTTGGCAAAGTTCTCAAGAGATCCAACTCAATTTGTTTAGATGCAGGATTTTGTTTTTCCAGAGCATTTTGAAGCAAGGTTTGGAAGTACCCAGGAACAGTGCTGTCCTTGAATTTTTTAACATGGAGATTGACACACCATTTCCACATCTTGGAACGATGTTCATGTGGAATTCCAGATCGAATAAGATTCTTCAGTTCTACACAGCGCATCATCTCTCTATTCATTGTGCTTGCCAGATAGTTTTCCCATTTTACCCCTGTGGAGATCTCTCGATTTTCACTGAGAGAAAGTGATTTCAGGTCCAAAGCTCGTGATTTTGCTACTAGTTTCTCCTCATCATCATCCTCTGGGACTGTCTGAAAACCATATATATCATATTCACTGAAATGGAGAGGGAAAAAAAGAAAAAAGGCCTTTAAAAATGTGTTCAGTATCCCTGAAACTCTCAAGTTCCCAACCTAAAGTTACTTCAAATATCCCTTGAGCCACTTCCCATACTTTTCAAGTTTTAACAATTATTAAACATTTTTCTAAAGCATATACTTTATTTAATAATTATTTTTATAATCCCATACAAAACATACTTTGTGCCCTTATTCCAATATATATTACTACAGATTAAGCAATTTATTTAAGAACATGGTCAAGTTCAAATGAACCCATCTCTTCAGTAGTTCAGCAGCCATATGGCAACATTTGAGTCTAAGTTTTATACTGTATCTCAAATAAAATAAGTGTATTTATACAGCCAAAAGGTTTTCATGATGATACATTAAAAACCCCAAATCCTGCAAATATATCCCCACTGTCTGTTTTCCAGTGTCAGAAGCGGGTCCGCTGACCAAGATACACAAACATTTATTTTAAAAGGACCAAATTACCTGACCAGGTGTGGTTTGAAAAACGCTTGTTCTGGTTGTTCACTAGTTTCTGCTTTCAAGGCATCTTCCAGTAACTGTGTGATGACCTCACGAGCAGGACTCTGCTCCTCAGAACAAACAGGAGTTTTCATTTCTTGAAGCAATATCAAGTATTTACTTTCTATCTGACAAAGTTTGGCTTCCAAGCTAGTATACTGCAGAAAACAATATATAATATCATAAGTCTTCAGAAATTTACTTTGTACTACACTTCTTTTAAAATCTGGTTCAATATTATTCTACTAGTTTATGTTGCTTAGAAATCTGTAAGTCAGGAACAGTCAGCTTTACTTTCCCCATTTTTGTAGCACCAGAAAACATAAAGCAACCCCTACATGTGGAAAATAAAAATTATATATGCATTTTATTACACTACAGTAAACTTCTGTACATAAAGTACTTGGGAAAGAAACCTCAGATACCTGTGGCTTTTTACAGAAAGTCTTTTAAGGCAGAATAGTAGACCAGAGACTTTCTATCATATGTATTTTTACACGCAGAAAATCCAAGCAAGTTTTAATTATCATTACATTGTACGAAGGACAACTCAACCATTTTGTGCTTTTAAATTAACAGCTTTAGTCTATGCATGTTTGAACAAAAAGAACTTAAAATGGAACTTTAAAGATACAAGTTAGGTAATAGCATGTATGAATTGTAAATACACACCTCTGTGCCAAAAATACAGCATTTAGACCCGGGCGCTGTGTGCATCTGCTCCAAAAAACAAAAGCAAACCCTACCAAACCATAGCTACAGGTATCTTGCCTTAGCTACGGATGTGTGCATATTTTCCTAGCCCCAGGCAATGGAAATCTTCATTATTTACCTGCAACTTCTCTACACTCAAATTCATCTATACAGAAATACATTTCCAAAGTTGCATTCACCGTACCGTAGTCATCCTTCGTGCTCAGGAGAAAGCTCTACTCAGTGGCATACCAAATCCTTACACATCCTGTCTTTTGCATACTTCAAGAAAATTATTACAGCCTTAATTCTGAAGAAACGACGTCTTCAGAAATATACATGCCTGTGTTCATAAGTTATGAAAAAGTTCCACTGGTTAATATGATTTTAAAGTCAATTATGTCTTTCAAGAATCCATTCAGAAAGATTAGTCTGTAAGGACTGAGTTTGGGGGGATTTTTTTTTTTTTAAGCTACCACATTTAAGTCGTTCAATTTCCATTCCACAGTTATGTTCCCCGAGTAGATTTACAACTGAATTTTTTGAAAACTGCTTTAGACATTGCCAAAATGAGAACATGCTGTGTTAGTCTGACCTTTGCCTGCCATTCTCTCTCTCTTGCTTCTGCATTTCTTCGTAGAGCAGAAAGTTCCAAAATCTCCTTATTTAAAAATTTATTCTGGGTTTTATAACCCTGTAGATTGTCCTGTTGATAAACAAACAAACTGGATTTTTAATAGAAATATCTTACAAACAGCAAATGCCTACCAGAGAAAGTATACAGAACAAGCAGCTACTAATAGGACTTATCATTAAAGATATCAGGGATCAAATCAAATATTATTTTTAGTCTTCACGTAAGTCAAATACACATGCCAAATATAAGCACAGAGGTGTACAGGGTGGTGCCATGCCTCGCTTGCATCCCTTCCAGTGCTACGCTCCTGGCAGAAGGCAGCTGGGCACTGCTTGCCGTCACAAGGCAGGCCCAGCCCTGTGAGGCTGCACCACTGGAGAGGAGAACAGAAATGTGCATGCTAAACACACCAGAGAGGCCATGGTGCTGCATGTCAGCCAGAAGCACATACCACGCAATACAAGAAGTGGGGGAAAATGCCCCACGGGTTTCGGTTACCCTCACCAGTCCTCATCTAAAGTATAAGTTTGATGTCTGCCTCCATACAAAAATATAAATCCTTAGCAATAAGCCTCCTTGCCTAATCCACTCAGCTCCATACTACAAATATTACCTTTGAAACCTGAGGTTGTGGGATGAAGGAATGTTGGTACCCTCCCAACAATTACAATACTCCCACACTCAACAGCAGCTACAAGCTTTGGTCTGCCTTCTGCCAAGGCCAATGATTTCTGGTTTCAATTTTATTTTCTAAAACCTTCCAGGCTCACATATAGGAAAGAAAATTACGAACATTTATACAGATTTTAAATTACTTGTATTCCAAATCCCTTGGAATGTTCATCAATTTGGAACACAACATTTATCCAAAGGCAAGAAAGCATGTTTAGAGCAAAGTGGGTAACTTCAGTAACTCCATTAAGAACTTCTGACACACTGAGGTAGGCTAGAGGAAAAAAAAAAGCACACTGATAACATCTGGAGCAGCATTAGTAAAACAGGTGTTTATACTACTCCTCTTTATAGGGAATGGCTCCCCTTTGCCATTCCACATGCTCTTTGTTTTCTCACTTTTGATATTTAAAAAAAAATTAAAATTCTGGTTGTTTTCCTCCATGCTTATATTTTCCTCTTACCCTTACTTTTTCCTGTTCCTTTGATTACTTCTCACATCACTCCTCCTCCACACCAATGATTAAATTACTGAAAGTATGGGACACTGTACTATAGAGGTACAGACCAGCTCAAAGTATAAAAGTCCTGTTTAGATTGCCATATAACAGTTCAAAGTGTAGATTCCAAGCAGAGAAAGCCTCAGTTGATGAGTATCTTGGAGCACTGCTGTAGTGATCTCCTCAAACAGTATAGCAGACTAGAAAGTAAGTTTCTACAGGGAGCAGAGATTCCCCTATCCACCAAGAGAGAGACATTGCTCTTACTTTTAGTCTGTCCAGTTCCTGTAGTTCCTTATTAGTACAGGTGGCCATGGAAGAATTTACTGCTCCACTTTGAGAGGATGTATTGTCCTCACATTCGCTGAGTTGACGAGAGAGTTTCATGATCACTTCATCTTTAGCTTGAATAGTTTCCATCAACATACCCAGCTGCTCATTGAGTTCTCCAACTTTACATTTCAGGTTCTTTACTTCCTGCTGGAGACTATCTTTTTCCAGATTTAACTTTTCAAGCTGGTTGTTGAGACCCAAAATCTGGTCGTCTTTTTGGTGCAACAGCTCTAATTTGTCTTTGGGAACCCCCTCACAAAGACGGCTTGCAAAATATTTATCATATTGGGAAGATCGGACTGTTTGCTGAAGAAGTCGCACAAGTTCCTAGGAATTTAAAAAAGAAATATTGTAATCAAGTTTTATGTTTCTAAGTTTTACTACTGAGAAATCTGACATCAAGCAAAAGAAAGCTTTGGAATGGGTTTTGCATCTGAATCATCAGCTTATAACAGACTTCATGGTGGTGTTTTAAGGGAAAAATTACACTATTTCTAGCAGGCTAACACCTTACAATGACTGGCCTATACAGATGGCTTAAGTGTCTTTCACTGAGCTAAGGATCCTGCCTAGAAAGGCTACAACAGGTTTGGGAAGAGCAGCTGACAGCTGTGGCCCAGCAGTTAGTTGGAAGCTAGAAGAGCCTTACTTGCAAGAAGCCTGTTGCAAGAAGATAAATAGGAAGAGGGCTTAAGCCAAAAAAAAAAAAAAATTAAGAGGTGAACATTACAGAAAAGGGATAGATAACTAATTGCTCTCTTCCCTAACAGATGCACAGAGAATAACGGGGAGGGGGGGGGAAACCCACACATGCTGCTGTGCTGAAAAGGAAGTCTTTGGAGGGCTGTTTAGAAAATCTTACCACAGAATCAGCCAAATAATTAACTGACTTGCCACAAGGGAGAAAAGGAGTTTCTGCGGTCTTTGCAAAAAACACAGCATCAAACACCCCGAACTAGAAATTTTTTTGAAAACACATCCATCTAACAATTCTACCATTTTCATCTTCTATTCCCTCACACTAAAAAAGGACAAGTATCTTTGCTCATGGGATTGCATAGGCCCTGGACAATTACAACATTTATTCACTTGCATGAAAGATATATGTGTTTTGCCTGGGGAATCATGGGTACATATGCATAAGAAGTTGATTTTTAAGGCAGTTACACTGAAAGTAAAACCCTACTTGATTTCTTGCTGGAATGAGATCTTACCATGACATTCAAGAAGTGAAGGCTGTTATATGCAAATAAGTCAAAGTGAAATTTAAAGGAAAATAAATACTGTAAAAGGAAGAGTTTGCCTTAGCTATTACCAGAAGCTCTCCAAAAGCTAAGCTGTAAAAAAAAAAAGCCACAAACAAAAACCCCAAAAAAACAAAACCACAAAAACCCCCACACAAACAAACAAAAAACCCCACCAAAAACCCAACAAACAAAACCCCACAAAAAAACAACAAAAATCCAAAACACAAACAAAAACCAAAAACCACACACAAGAAGATATTCCAGATCAACAATAAACAGTAAGAAAACAAGAACAGACTGCTCACTTACAAATCTCACTCATCTGGATTATTACTTTTGCTGTTTCCCACGTTTGGTTAATGGTTTAACACTGTGGAACTGTGGGAAGGTAAGTTCAACACTAGAAGCATTTGCAATACTTACCAATGAAACTGGGATTATTTATTTTGTTTGGTTGTTATTTTTTTTTTTAAATAGTTCTCTGACACTAATTAAGAATACAAGGACAGAAATAGGAATTGGTTTTATGGAATTCCTGAGAACTTCAATGTTCAATAATGTATCTGGAAGTTTACAAAAACTTGGAAAATCATACAGATATACCTACAATGAGCCACTGATTTTGAGAAATTCTTTTAGATAAACCCAAGATATTTAATAAATCTGAGTTATAAGGGCATACAAGCAATACATTCTTTCGCTGGGTAAAGAACTGGTTGGGTGGCCG